TCGGCGCCAGACGAATCTCAGTCGGGAGGGCATTCCATAGTCTGGGGGCAGCTGCCGAAAAGGCCCTTTCTCTACAAGCCCTCCCTCTTATCTCCTTAAGGAATGGCTCTTTCAAAAGGGCCCCCTGGTTAGATCTTAACTGCTGGGTAGGTTCATATGGAAGGATGCTTATACAGATCTCTTTTACAATGCTAGTGCTACCAGCAAGGTAATGAGAATCTGTATCAGGACTGCACTTATATGTATGCAAATATGTGTGTATATGCATATGATCCCACATTAGCATCACACAGAGCTCTAAGGGCCAAAAAGGGCACACCTACTATACAGTGGTGCCTTCACTTACAAGCATCCCTACTTACGACCATTTCAAGTTACGACCAGCTCAATCCACAAAATTTTGCTTCTACTTGCGACCAGAGCTTCCACTTACAAATAGAAAAAGGCAGGGGAAAAGGCAGGAAAATCAAACTGCTAACTGTAGGTGGCGAGAAGGCTGCTTCTTTGTAGCTCTTTCGACCCAGCAGTTAGAGCAGTGGTCCCTGACCTTGGGCCACCAGATGTTCTTGGACTTCAACTCAAGAAATCCTGGCCAGCAGAGGTGGTGGTGGTGAAGGCTTCTGGGAGTTGTAGTCCAAGAACATCTGGAGGCCCAGCGTTGGGGACCACTGAGTTAGAGTGTGTGTGACAGAGGAGGAGGCTTGGGACTGCCTCCTTCTGCTTCTGAGAGTGTGTGTATTTGCAGGGAGGCTTCGGGCTGCCTGGTAAGGTAAGGTGCTGTTTTCTGCTTTTTAAAAACTGTTCTGGGTGTTTTTGCAGCATGGTTTTGAGCTGGGGGATTATGTTTCTGTGCTGTGATGGGTCTTGGGGGTTTGTTTGTTTTTTGGTCCCCCCATTTCCGATGGGTCTTGTGGGGTTTGGTTGCTTTTTGAGGGGCTCCCCATTTCCAATGGGTCTTGGGAGGTTTGGTTGCTTTTGGGGGGGATTCCCCATGTCCGATTGGTCTTTTGGCCATTTGGTTGCTTTTTTGGTTTTTCCCCCCATTTCTGATGGGTCCTGCATGCTTCCCTTGCTTTTTCCTTTGCTTTCTTTGCATTTCCGACCTGCCCCCTTTGTTCTCTGTGCATTTTTGATCTGCTCCATTTGTTTTCTGTGAATTTCCAATAGGTCTTGCACGCTTAATTGCTTTTCTCCCCCCCCCCCTTGGCCGGAAGGGATTAATCGTGTTTCCAATGAGTCTTGCAGTGATATTGGGGGTGTGTGATTTTCTTCATCAGCCAGAACGGATTAATTGCTTTTCAATGCACTCCTATGGGAAATGGCGCTTCGACTTACGACCATTTCAAGTTACGTCCATCTTCTGGAACGGATTATGGTCGTAAGTGGAGGCACCACTGTAAACTATATTTGTCAGCCTTGTGGTCCAACCTCTTTTAGTAGGTAAATTCAATTTCTAGAATCTATGTTTATTTTTGCTTTTGGAACAGATACAATATTGTCAACCAAAAAAGCACTTGCTCCCCTTGTCTCACTCGCACAACACATGGTCATGACTGGTAGATCAAAGTAAAAGAATAGAGAAACAGCTGGTGTTGACATTCAGCAATGTTTTGTGAAGAGACTTTCTTTACAACACAAGCCTCCCCTTAATCACCCTCAGAATGGTCCACTCTAGTTGGTACCAAGAAGTTTTCCCCAGCCTTATCCTTTCTCAGCCTTCAGTTTTTGCCAGTTTCCCACAGGAACCTTCTTTCCACTGCCCCCCACCTTCACTCTAAGCTTTTTTGAGTTCTGAGACTTTGACTTTCAACTTGATCTCTCCTTAGTTATTCAGAAGACTGCTAGAAAAGCAGAGTCTGGCCTATAACTGCTCTCAACATCATTTTAGGCAGTAAAGGGGAAAAAACAGTTTGTGAGAATTGCTCCTCTGCATCCACCAAATCAACCTTTATAGTAGGTATCTAATGTCCCATTCCACATAATTTATTTTGGAACAGTTAATTTACACAATTTACTTATCCTTGAACAATCTTGCCAAAGATAAGCATAATATAAAACAAGACTGCAAAAATCAGTATAAGCTGGCGTAAACCTGTGCAAATGAGGAACTCTGAACAACATACAGTATAGATCCAAATTAACAGGTACAACCAAACAGATAAAGACAGCTCATACTGATGCTAATATTTATAAAAATATATATTCATCATTGCTCCCTCACTGTTTGTGTTCATTCATTATCGTATTTTTCATGTGAGAAACTATGCCCACTGAAGCTCATCTTGAAAGCAGATGATTCAACAACAAACCTAAGTGCCTAATCATTGCAAATAGATTAAATGCAAAAGTCTTAGAACAGGCTCACTTCCAGCATACACTTAAGACTCTAAAAGCCACTGATGGCACTATATACCATTTTCCAGAAATGATTTGGATGCTACTGGTAATATTTTCAATGCACTAATGGATCTAAGGATATAATTTGATCAATGACTTTGGATGTAATCCACATCAATTCCAATCAATATGCTATGGTGTTTTGTTGTTGTAGTCAGGGGACCTGAAACTGCTATACCCAATGAATGCTCTCATTAATAAAGTGAAATTAATCACATAATTTGCTAGTAGACCATTTAAGGCAAAATGAGATTTGGTGTGTATTTACATCTCCAATTCTTAGTTAAGCAGTATTATTTTAGAATATTATTTATTTGTCACATTCATCAAGCTTTTAAATTACATCTCTCAGAAAACCAAAGCACATCGGGACTAATACTCCTATTGCATTTGAATTCATTTTATTTCCACCCCTCATTCCTAATCCCTGCATTTTTCCCAAATATATATCCTTTCTCTTTCTAAAATAATGGATTACAAATAACAAGTGTTTTCAAATGGCTGGGAGGAAGGGCGGTGCAAGATCTGGAAATGTTACCCCTTCTTTGTATGATTTTCTATGGCACATAGAGCACAACTGCACTATTAGACATTTTATCTCCAGAACAATTCTGTTTAAACTTAGAAAGCATAATCTCCAAGTCAAATAATACATAGCCCCAAAATCAAAGTTTTCAGCTAGAAAGATTTTACATCATAACAACTGGGCATGCTGCAATAATTTTATACTTACCACACCTCCAAAATATTTTCCTATGTAGAAATCATTGAGGCTATGCAATTCCAGATAAGTAGCTCCTAGATCTTTAGCAAGCTGAATCCCTTCAGAAGCTGTAACACAGCTACCTCTGTCTGAGATGCACAAAGGACAGGTGCACGGAACTTCTGAGAAAGAAATGCCCATACAGAGTACTTCAGTACAGTATGTTGGCTCGTCTTCTGATTAAACCATACTAAGTAATTAGGCCTAAATCCACTTGTTAGTCCCAACTAGAGTAGATTCATTGTATCCATGGAACTTACACACATGTTGAATTAACAGATCTATTAATTCAATAAGTCTACCTTCTTTAGGAATAACATTTGAATTTACCTCTTAATGATGAATTAAGCAATACAAAACACATAGCCCTGAATCCAGTTCCTACTTCCAACAAAGGCACACTGATTGAATCAGGGGGGTTTACTTGACTGTATTCAGCAGCTGTACTCTGTCTAGCTGGAGATAGCAAATGGATTTAGGCCTGTAATTACTGTATACACATTTCTACTCAGTAGGCTCCAGTTTTCAATGTATTTACTCCTAAGTAAGCATAGAGACAATTGCAACATAAGATAATAAATAACATAAGTACTCAACAGCTGTCCTATTGAAGACCAAGTTGGGTAAGAGTTACATTGTTGTTTTAATTTGATGTCAAATAGTAGGTGTTACTTTTTTCTCATAAACATTTTTTTGTAATCTATTATGCTCTTTGGAATGATATAACAGGTCTTTCTGCAAAAGTATTGATACAGTTCTACTAAAACAATCTAGAGCATTTATATTCAAGCAATTTACTTCATTGTATAAGCATAGTAAAATAATAATACAGACCATTTTATACTTGCAATATCCTATTTCCCCGAACATAAGACCTAACCTGAAAATAAGCCCTACTATGATTTTTCAGGATGCTCATAATATAAGCCCTAACCCAAAAATAAGCCCCAGTTAAGTGGAGCCCCACCCTCCACCATTGTGCAGCAACCAGAAGATGACATGACTGTATTTGAACAAATGTAGATGGTTGTACATGAAAACAATAAAACATTCCCTGAAAATAAACCCTAATGCGTTTTTGGAGCAAAAATTAATATAAGACCCTGTCTTATTTTCAGGGAAACACGATAATAAAAGCAGCTACCTGGACAGCTCAGTGGTTTAGTACCGTATATGGCTATGTAGCCTGAGGTTGGCAGTTCAGTTCCCCCCTGGGAGAAGAGCCAGCCTGAGTAGCCTTGTACAAAATGCACAGTCCGAGGGTGCCCCCAGAAGAAGGGAATTGTAAGCCACTTCTGAGTATTCATTACCTAAAAACCCTGAAAAGGGTAACCATGTCAGAATTGACTTGACAGCACATTTTTATTTATTAATAATAAATGTGCCTAATTATTCTAGCAAGTTCAGGTAAAATGGAGCAGAGTGCTTAGTGATTACAGAATTATATAAAACAAAAGGAGCAGGAAGAGAAGAATGAGAAAGTTTATGCTCATGAACTTTACATGTAGTCTGGATCTGGAAAGGTCTCTTTTTGTTCACCTGCCATTCACTACATCTGTGATACAATGTCCATGTAACTGAATGCATTTCTCATGTATAAGAAGGCCACAAAGCAGCGCTCCACCATGCAATGAAATATAAGAACTAATGGATCAAGGGACTGCATTACAGCAACTATGTTACATAACTACTTCTCATGCAGTGACAACATACTGCAATCTAACAAAACAAAGCAAAACAGTGCAATGTTTCCATTTTGGAAGTAGCACAGAATATCAGTGTTGCTAGGTTCCGATAAAAAAACAAACGATGAACTAGGAATATGATGGCTTAGGACTGATGCATTGGGTCAAGAAGCTATGGGAAGAAGCTATGGGAAGAAATTATGTACCTTATGAAACACCATCTAAACTCATTAAACAATGCCTGTAAGATCAATGGATAGCTCAGGAAATTCCAAGCAATGCATCAGTGGTAGGCATACTAATACGCCATGCGAGAACTGCTAGAATGCCACAAGAAATATATTTTTGAAAAAGTTAAATTTGTGAATCTAGGGAGGCAACCCACAGCATCTTTGCATGTATCAGTTATCTGGCTTTGCTCCTTTAATTAAGACTTCATTGCAGTTATTCTGCTGCAGATGTGATGGGATCATTCAACTATTCTGTTTACAGAAACACTCGTTTTCAGAAGGATGGGGGAGTATGCTATAAAATATACAGTATGTCTCATCTATCAGGAGATTGATGGCACAGTTGCAGTTATGATGCTGGCCTATGCTCACCAATTCGTCAAGGAAAATGTTGCTGAAAAGAAATGTTCATGCACACAAGAGAATTATAGAAATCAAATTGTAAGCCACCTAGAGTACATTGTCTAAATGGGTGAGATAAATATCTAATAAATAAATAAATGAGTTCTTGAGGTTTTACATGTACTGTACATGTACATAAGTATGCCCGAAGAGACTGAAATGATGTTACGTCCTATTCACATATTCAATAACAATATGTACTCCAAATATAAGGAGGGAACATATATGTCCTGCTCTCTCCATCATTTTCTTCACATGAAGGAAGAAGACACCCTGTGGAGGTTCTCCATGTGAGTCAGGAATAGTTTCCATGAATAAAACACATCCAGAATGATGGATTCTCTTCAGGCATTCCTACATATACTTACTATGGAATAAGTACTTACAAACATAGTAGGACTTACTTCTAAAGAACATAGTAGGACTTGTTTGGGACAGAACTGTATTCTTAAGGAAAGATCCAAAGCTATGCTAGCAATGCAACATCATATAACTTTCTTCTCCTCCACTCCTCTTCCCTTCAAGCCCTCAGTATTGCCTAAAAATATGATTCACAGATTTTCTCAGCTCTCTAGAGCAGCGGTCCTCAACCTTTTTTCGGGCCGTGGACCAGCTAGGGGGAGCAAGCACCATTTGGGTGGCAGGGGCACCCCCATGCTCATGCCGTGGGTGTGTCATGTGAGCATGCGCAACACCCCCGCCGTGCAAGCATGACATGCCCTGCCATGTGCAGGGGGGGAGATCTGTATCTGCAGCCCAGTTCCTGCAATTCCACGCATCGGCACCGGACCACGGACCAGGGGTTGACAGCCCCTGCTCTAAAGTATATATTTAGAGGATCCACAGTAGGCTGTAATGGAGAGGGGAAATTGCCTCCCTCCTGATTGCACTGGAGGAAGCAGTCCATAAGTAGATGTCATTCCCTGATTTTAGGGCTAAGACTGCAGTCAGAAACATAATTAACAGAAAGGAAGCCATACATAAAGGAACTTGTTTCCAAGTAAAGATGTAGTCCTGACATCATTTAAATTGGCACTTTCATTTCCTAGATTAGCCCAATACCAGTTTAAGTATATCAACCGAAATCTTTGCCAGTTACAGTAAGGATGTGCATTTTGAAATAGATCTTTTGATTGTAAATCAGTGATTCTTTTTCATCATGATCTAACTTCTAAGTCCATATTTACATTTCAGCTGTTTTTAAAATGAGCACATACCGTTTTGTCTTGCACCAACAGCAGAAATTATGACTGGAACTGAACAGTGGTTTAATGCTTTTTTAATCAATGGTGCATAAATGTCCTTTAATTCTTGAAATGAAGACTTGTCATTTACAGAGTATTTAATCACAATGATATCTGCTTCTCCAATAAGATTCCGGGATGTGTACCAGTCACTTTCAAAAATGTCCTACATGAAAGAAAAAGATTTAGCTAAATTCCTTTGTTTGTGGATCAAGAGCAGAATGAATTAATACTCCTTCACACAAAACTACAAAAATACATCATTGGTATTTCTTTTATCATAAACTGAAATGTTGAAACAACAAAGACCAGGAAGCTTGTGAGTACAATTTCTGTCTTCTTCTTGTTGTTCTCCCCCACCCCACCCCGCCCAAAAGCAATTTGCACAAAACTGTCCAGAATTAATGAATATGAAGCTAACTTTTTAATCTCATTCACCTCCCAACAATCCTTTTATATATATTCCCAGTTTACAAAACAGGGAACTAAATAGCTTGATGTAGGTTAACTACTAACTTGACGGGTGAAAAAAAATGTCTATGAAGATCTTCCACTAATGTTCTCACTAGTTTCGAGTACTTTACATTGGTTTAGTTACAGATGTAAACTTTCTCTTCTTATCTACTTAATTACAAAAGATCTCAGAGATGCAGTACTGATAAAAACTGAAAACATAAACAATTTACTTTACTCTGTCAATAATACCTTTCTATTAATTTTTATAAAAAGCAATCATCTGCATTGATGACAGCTTCATTTAACAGCCCAAGAGTTTAGTCATACTGCATGAACACCAATAACCTACTTCATTTATGAAAAGCAGTAAATCCTAGCAGCCTCACCAGAACAATTTCTATTGTTTTTATAAATGAAACATTTTAATTAAAAATGCTTCATGAAACAATTTTTTACCACTTCAAGAACAAATAGCCATTGAATCATAACATTCCAGAAGAAAGCTAGAAGTATTTTGAGACAATGGATCTATGTTGCAGCTCACCCCACCTGCATTTTCCCATCATCTTAGAATCCATATTCCAGTACTCTCATTGACTGGCATTATTTTTTCTCTTTTTTTAATTTCAGTTTTTACAATAAGATCCTGGATGCTTAAGTTTGGAGATAAGAGTCCTTTGTTCTTACAAGCAGACCATGTTTCTCTGTTTCTGCAGCTATTTCTTTTTTTCTCCAGTGGCATTCTGGAAATATCACTTCTAGAAAAATGAAAGGCCAGTCCAATGTCCTTGCTTCTTATGCAATAAACAGTTATTACTAGCTGATGAAAGGCTTTCATAGACTATTATAAATTGATCCTTTGTACTGCTCATTTTTCATTGTAAAATCCTGGTCATTAAAATTGCAGATCTCACAATTTTAGAATATCATGAAACTTCCCACTACTTAAAGCATTCTCAGATAAAGTAAGCATAAGATAAATTCAGAATGTTCAGAGCTGTTGGAAGTAAAAGAAGATAGGAATAGAAAAGTAATCTCAAGAGAGAAGACATAGGGAGACAATACGAACTGAGGAGATGGGAAAAACCAAATGGAAATGGTTTGATGAATACACTGAGAAGTTACAATCTTTTGGGAGATTCTTAGGACATTCTTAGGACACCATTCTGAATACTGACAAAAGGCAGAAGAGAATAAAATGTTTTAATTTCAACATGTCTGTATGCACACTGACGTATTGCCCTGATTATAATACTGTATTTAGGTACTTCCTGACATCATTCTATTTCAAAAGTTCAAACACAAGAGTGGATCCTTATGTAGCCAAAACAGCACCATGCTTTCATAAGAGATGAAAATCCAAAGCTTGGAGGAACACAAGTCATCAGGACAAAAGTGCCGTCTCTCAAAGCAACACAATGAGGACAGAGCACAAACAGTGGCTATGGAATGTTAATGGGGGAGAGGCAGAAAAACAAGTGGATAAGAGAGTGACAAATCCTGGAAGCCGGCATAGCTGGCTTAATGGAACACCAAACAGGAGCACATATTTTGGCTTTATTTGCAATGACAACACTGAAACTGGAAGCACTTTTTAAAATTCCTCCTTAGATTTTGGAGCTATTGGTAAGAGCAAAGGTCCTGTCCTGATACTTATAGCACATACTTTTTTTTCATCTGTTGTTGTGTTGATAACTCTTTTACTATTGATCAATATTGCAATTATCAAAGAAGACTGACAGAAAGTATCGGGAATGCATAGATAACATATTCCAAAGCTTAATGTCCTTGGAGAAAGATGACATTTGGAAGCATTCTTAGCCAAATAATTTGATCTGAGATATAGTAACCTGAAATTTGGGGCAGAATATCATATTTCCAATACAAATCAGAAACAGCAAAAGTATTGATGTATTGCATCAATTTCCAGACAGGAAATTCAGGTTCAGCTCAGTTAATAATACTGACCAACAATCGTTCCTGTATGTTTGTATATAGACCTATATAGCAAGGTTAATCTCTAAATGGTTGGGGTATGTGCTCCTGATAGCTCAAACAGATTGCTATCCTTTAAAATAATTCATCCACTCTAAACATAGTATCAGAAAAGTTATATAGGGGTAAAGCAGTGCATTTTTTTCATTTAGCTTAGTCCATATTCATGATAGCAATTAGAAAATAAGAATGATTCCAGATATCATCCAGAATAGATGTGAAAAACTAATGTTGAGATCTGTTTTGAAGTAAAATATATTTTCACCAATTCCTAATATTTACGCTTGTTAAAGCTGCCCAAAGTCATCCAAATGATAAGATACACAGCTGAACACAATGAGTTTTCTAGACAATGTTATTTTTGTGCATAGCAAGCACCCTGGTTAACCTTTCCAGGTGACTGCTCAAGGAGAGTTATTCCATTCTGTGCACCAATGCCTAGACAACTTTATTTTTCATGAACTCAAGTTCTAGTACTGATTTACTAGGAAAAACGCAATTGCTATTCCTATTTCATCCTACAGTTCCACTATTGTGACAATATTGTGATAAGCAAAACAAGTCCCTCTTCATTATAGCTATGCCATTTTCTGTGTTTTAAATGCTCTGCCACTTCACCTACTTTTAAAATTTGTTCTAATTGATTCCTGTCATCCAGTCAGGTGCAGTGCATGCCTGTTATATAACTGCTCTCCCAGTACAGTATGTTTAAAAATGGCTGTGTTTCAGCAATCAGATTGACTCCTCACCTTTTTTTTCCTTGGTGTTGTAAATATAATACCTCTGGCAGTTCGGATAGTTCAGTGGTTCTTAACCTTTTTGAAAGAAACACCCCCTTGAGCCATTGAGGAAGTTATCATTGCCCCCCTCCCCACGGCGATATCTTATTTATTTATTTATTTATTTATTTATTTATTTATTCATT